CGAAAATGAATATTGTCCACATAAATCATATATGATTAGATACATATAATCATATTTGATTATATCTATTTAATCACATATGGTAAACGTGGTTAAAGAACAACTATTGAATCAAGAATACAAAAATAAATCATGTCTACACAAATCATACGTGATTAGATACATATAAGCACATGTGTATTTAGTCACATGTGATTATATGTATTTAATCACATGTGATTTATGTGGACAAGATTCATTTTCGCGTTCTTGATTCAATAGTTGTTCTCGTGTATTTAATCACAAGTGATTAAATGTATTTAATCAAATACGAATAAAATGGACAAAAAATAATTATTGAACTAAGAACGTGAAAATGATTCTTTTCCACATAAATCATATGTGATTAGATACATATAACCACATGTGATTAAACGTGATTAGATATATTTAATTGCATGTCATTATCGCGCTCTCGATTTAATAATTATTTTTTTGTCAACTTTAATAATATGTGATTAGATACATATAATCACATATGATTATATGTATCCAATCACATATGATTTATATGAGTGATATTCATTTTTGAGTTTTCGTTTCAATAATTTTTCTCATATATTTAATCATATATGTGATTATAAGTATTTAATCATATGATTATAAGTATTTAATTATATTTAATCATATGTGATTAGATACATAAATCATATGTGATTAGATTCATATAATCACATGTGATTTGATGTATTTAATCACATATGATTAATGTGGATAAAAATTTGTTTTCGCGTTCTTGATTCAATATTTGTTATCGTGCTATGATAACATGTGATTGTATATAGCTAATCACATATGATTTATATAGACCAGATTCATTTTTTCTAAATAAAATCATATGTCATTAGAAGCATATAATCACATCTGATTAAATGTATTTAATCACGTATGATTAAAGTGGAAAAAACAATTATTGAATCGAGAACGTGAAAATGAATCTTGTATAGATAAATCATATGTGATTAGATACATATAATCATATGTGATTATATGTATCCAAACACATATGATTTATATGAACAATATTTATTTTTGCGTTTTCGATTCAATAATTATTCTCATGTATTTAATCATATGTGATTAATAAATATAATCACATGTGATTAAATCAAACACCTCCTACCCACCCACCACCACCTATCACTACCCACCACCAAGAACCCACCACTCATTTTTTCACATTTGATTTAAAACACATATGATTTAAAACACCATAAAAAATTATTAGATCGAGAATGTAAAAACAAATCTTGGGTGGCCGGTGGTGTTGGGTGGGTAGTGGTAGCTGGTGGGTGGTATGTGAAGGGTTCCAGTGTTGGGTGATAGGTGGTTGTGGTAGGTGGTGGGTTTAATCATATGTTATTATATGTATCTAATCACATATGATTAATATGGACAAGATTTTTTTTTGCGTTCTCGATGACATAATCGAATCGATCTTTTCCATATAAATCATATCTGATTAGAGATAAAGAGAAACAAGAAAAGATGAAGCATATATATGATGGATGAGTCACCAAGTATTGTCGCTGCAGCCAATGCAGCCGCAACTTGTATCCTGATTTTGAAATTAGATGAATCGCGTAGTAGAAATAAAAGAATACTAAAAACTGAAGAAGCGCAATTTGTATCTTCAAGTTTTAATGTCTCATCAGTTGCTCAATGCATGAACAAACATTTAACTGTACCTTTTTTCAAAAATAAGTAAAAATTAAAAAGTGTAAAACGGTAAAAGTAACCACTTTTTTGGGTTTTAAAGGGTTCCTTCATGTTTCCGGATGTCACACAACAAAAAATGTATGTACCATTCTTTCCAACAAAGATGAATCTTCCCACATTAGTTGTAGAAATGAAGTTGATGCCAGACATCTTTTAGTTTCTACATAATCATGAAAATATTGAATTGACCGTCGAACAATTCTTGAAAGATTTACACGGGCTCTTAAAACATTTTCTTTGATCTAAGTATAAAAAAATAAAATCAAATAAATTTAAAATACAATTACATAAATAAACATTGAAAATGATATAAATCTTGACAAGTTACAATTTTACTATATCACCATCTCTTGTAAGGCATAAAGAACAATTTATTAACAAAAAAACCATTTTGTCGCAATCCTTTAAGTATATCACTTCAAATATGAGTGAATTTATAAAAACAAAACAATGCATAGGGGTAGAATGGTCAAAATGAAAGTTTAGTACTCACCTACAAAAGAGATTGAGGGGGTAAATAAGTCAATACAGTAGCGAACATAATCACATAAATTAGCTAAAGCTTAGGAGGCTGCAATGCGAACCTAAATACAAGAACTTGCGAAATTATATAGCTAACAAGATAAAAATGCATCAAATATAATTAAAGAAAATGATTTAAATATAAAATGAGAGAATGATACCTAGCTTAACGGATGGTTACTATTGACTTTAGCAGTATTGATAAACTTGCAAAGGGTCTCCGCACTATTACATTCAGACATTTGTAAGGTTGTTATAAACTAGATAAAGAAATGGATATCTAATATGGTAATAAAGAAACTTTTCTGTAAAAACACAATTGAAACTCAAAAACTATAAATTCAAAGGTAACTCATAAAAAGCTTTTGGGAAACATGCAATAACACCAATGGAACGACAAGCAACAGATCTTACTAATAGGACATCATCATCAAGAGCAGCATTGATCTATAAATTTTTCATATGATATAAATTGATAAAGAAATGGATATTTAGTAGGGTAATAAAAAAAATGGCAATGTTAACTTCTACAGTAGAACCGTTTTAGCAAGAGAATCTTTTACAATCTTACAGAATAAGTGATGATCTGATCCAGTTTGTCCTCTGGAAGGGAAAATAATACACTTGAAGTTATTCCTGCAAAACAAGTAATTGATGCAACCCTCACCTTCCAGAAAAAAGGAAAATATTATTAGCAAGAGCATATCTATAAACATATAATCAATTTATAAGAAAAAAAGTGGAAAATGAGAAGTGTTATAGCTAACCATGGGTGAAGTATGAAAAAGATTTGATGATAAGTCCTTTTCAATAGCTTTACACCACTACTCACTATCAGTTGGATGATCATAACTAGCCACTGGTTGGCTCTCCAATCCGTATTATGGAACAAATGATATTGCTGTTTTCACTTTGATGTAATCATATGTAAAAGGTCTGTTAGGTAATTTATCATCAAAAAGATCATCTGTTCCCTTAAATCCACCGTATAGCAAGTAGAGATTCATCCAGCAGCTGTCACAGATGATATAAAAGTAGTTTTTCAAATATGTAATGTGAAAAAAACCAACAGTGAAAATAAGAAATGGATCTCACCTTGATTGCATTGGTTATAACTTCTGCCCTAATTGTCAATACAGTGTGTCCAAAATTTCTGGTTGGCGCCTGATAATCTATCACGTATCCATTAGAATCAGCTTGATATAAACGAGGCACAAATGTCTGGTTATAAAAGTTCCTATTATTCTATTACAATGATGAACGGTTTAAGGATTTTTTGATCCAGAGAGAAAACTACATGAATACGATTTTGAATTCGAGATACAGATTCGCTTTTCCTTTAAACATGAATTTCCCAAAGATTGAAGATGTGTACCGTAAAGTCGAGTCAAATTGTGCCTTGTGTGAAGATTGCACAGCAGCGTAAAATCAGGGGAAGAGCTTATGTGTTTAAAATAAGGTTATTCTTGACGGTTTCCGGTCACCAGCAGGTACGATTTCCCGTTACCGGTGAAAGATATTTTCGATTTATCCAAAACGCTTCTGGAAGCATGGATGTTTGTAGGTATCCTGAACGGAGAGAGAGAGAGAGAGAGAGAGAGAGAGAGATAGACTGATGGAAGAGGCGGTGGTGTGGTGGTTCCGGTGACGGCAATGGTCGGTGGTGTCTGTGGTGTAGCTGTATTCGGCAGAGAGTGTGTTGGGGTGGGGGTGGGGTTATGTATTAATTCATTTAATTAATATATGGATAATTAATATAGGAGCTAATAATATGAGATCTTATCTATTTTTACGTGAATAATAATTTTTAACCTAAATACTAGTTTTTTGTTTCAAAAAAAAAAACACACACATGTCGCCTTGGAAATCCATATAGGTACCGGTGGCGGATACATGATCAAAGTAAAGGGGTATCCCTGACAAGTAAAGAGGTATCCTGACATAAAAAAATCGCGTAATACACAATAAGAAAAAAAAATTCCTGAAAAAATTACACTACAAAATTTATTTTAAATATTTTGAAGATAACATATTTTAGACAACACCACCACCACTGTCGGACCATCTCCAAACCCTGTTACTACATATATATCTTAAGATTTTAGTAATTACTCACGAAGTGAGATCATTGTGTGTATTATAGTTTTGTATGTATTCACATGTATCTAATTTTGTTATATGTTTCAATAAACTTATGATTTTAACTTATAATTTTGACATATATAATTTCCTTAAAAATATTTCTACATGAATTACCAAATCTGAGTACTCCTACTAGGCAATTAGTCGAACAAGTACCGAATAGCGAGTTCTACAACATTGTCACTACCTGTGGCGACTCTGGTGGTTTGAAAACTCTAGATCTAACATTGTCGACATCGATGGCAGTGTAATCCCCGACCCACTCTCTGCCATCAGCTGCATAAGAAGTCCATGCTATCTCTCCCTAACTAGCTCGCAAATACCATTACATATTACTAAGACCAGATAATTCTTCGAATGAGAGGTCCTACCCTATAACGATTGGACTCAGACAAGAGCTGCGAAATAGGGCTAGATTTAACCTTCTGAAATTATTTAGTCCTCGTAATATGTAACTTAACGTATTTGCTTACTAGTTAATTAAAGATAACTAGGACACCAAAAAGCACAAAGCAAGCAGCATTCGAGCATTGAATAACCAAAACCAAGCATATCCTAATCAGACCATCATATCACTGACTAATCAGTACTAGCATGCAATTCAATAAGCACATACAGTAGGCATACAAGGCATCCTTCCTAGATCCTTAGCCCTAATCTAGCATGCAGTTCACATATTCATACTTCATATCATAACATAACATATATAGGTAACTTGGGGAAAACTTACTTGAGCTCGACCGATTGCACGCATCACACTCCTTGCTCTTTATAAAAACCCTTCATTTTAATTTTGGAAAAAGTATTTTTTTTTCTTGTAAAAATATCTCAAACCCTTGATTTGAGTCCAGACACCCCCGAGAGTGTGTCTGAATCTCTCAAACCAGGGCTCTGATACCAACTTGTAATATCCCAAAATTTAGAGCCAAAAATTTCATTTTTAAATAAGTAGTTATAAACCAGTAGTCTGAAACATCAATAGTGTCAACTCATTTCAAAAACAAAAACCAGTATTTCATATAACCAAAACATGTCATAGAAAAGTAATATCAGAGTACAACCCCCAAAGATCTCATAAAGCGGAAATCATAATGTGATGCGCTGCGATCATGCCGGCTCCTTTCCTTTTGAAGAAGAATTACCTGAAACCAAAACTGAAAATCGTAAGCACAAAGCTTAGTGAGTTCCCCCCCCCCCCATCATACCACATAATCACATACTGCCAGACATATCTAGGTGCTCGGCCTACCCTGTCAGACATATCTAGGTGCCCGACCTACCCTATCAAGCATATTTGGGTGCCCGACCTACCCTCCGGTGTATTCCAACCGGTTACGAGGTCTATTTTACCCCTACCACTACCACATAATAACATAGCATAAACATACTGTCAGACATATCTGGGTGCCCGACCTACCCTCCGGTGTATTCCAACCGGTTACGAGGTCTAAATCACCCCTACCATTACCACATAATAACATAGCATACAAGTACATAAATTTCAACAGATAGTGGCATACCAGACAATTATCACAAAGACAATTATCTCTACTAAAACAACTACTATTGGGTGGACATTGGTGCCTTCAACCCACTTATACAAGGAAGGTAACTTACCTCGAAAACGGGAAAGTAACTGAAAAATCCTCGTCTCCGAATATCAACCCAACTCAAACTCCTAAACATAAAAGATTTCCTTTAAGTATACTTTCATACTCATAACCCCTTAAGGGTCAACTTTGGTCTTAGTCAAAGTCAAAGTCAACACCCATGTCAAAGTCAAAGTCAACATTCCGAGTTAACTCAACTCGTCGAGTTTCCATAAATCACATAATCGTGATATCACGATCCAACTTGTTGATTTTTTCCTACAACTCGTTGAGTCCCTCTTTTTCCAACAGAGTCGAGACACTTCCAGAACAACTCGTCGAGTTCTCTTATGAACTCATCGAGTTCTTCAGTCTGTCAACCTTCTTAATGAATTAAGTCCCTATTCTTCAAACCAAGGCCCTATCTTCTGGATCCAAGCTGGAAATACGTCTAGAAGGGTAAAGTTTCCAACTTTACCCATTAAGGACCTCTCCCCAAAGCATAAAACTCAAACCCTAACCCAAAATGGCTTAGATCCAACTCCAAAAGCCATCAAAACTTCAAGATAGACCATGAGGTCATAGATCTAGATTCAAGGGAAAAATTGGTCACATAAAGTTCCCATCCTTCTCGCATGCATGACCTAATGGGGCTTAGAAAGCCGAAATGATGGTCCAAAGGTTGCATGGGACTTCCATGGCCATAAAGTTGGCACCTTTATGCCATGAAGTCCCCTCATGACCCTAGATCTGAAGGGTTTGCCCAAAAGGGACGTCCAAATTCCAACAACCAATAAACTTGGACCAAAACATGAAAGAAAGCATCCTAAAACTATATCTAAGCATGCCATGGACAAGGTTGAAGCTTTATACCTCAGATGAATCAGAAATGAAGCCCAACTTCAGGATCTACTCTCCTCCCACACGTTCTTGCCCCTCCTTCAAGCTTCTTCTTCTTCAAACTCACCAAGAATGCACAAGATTAGCTTACAATCACCAAAAATGGCTTAGGGTTTCGAGATTAGGGTTTTGGACAGTGGAGGCTGGAGATGAGGCCAACTCCTTGGGGTTAAGGTGTTTAAATAGGGTACAAAACCCCAGAATTAGGGTTTCATTTCTGTCAGCCTACTCGTCGAGTTGAGGCCTCCCAACTCGTCGAGTAGGTTTCCAAAACCCACGGTCTAATTCATCTCTACTCGACGAGTTTGGGGCCTTCGACTCGTCGAGTTTCTATATAAAAATGAATAATTATAAGTTAAATACATATCGGGAACCATGCATTACATATATGATAATACTTTGATCCCTTGTCCTAACGTATGCATCAAAGTGTATTAACAAGCAATATCATTGTAGTACTCTTGATGAGTCTTGACCTTTCCTATTTACAATCTTTTAGCCATTGCTATGATTCTCAATCATTCTTCCTAATCAAACAACCCAAGTACAACTTTAGCACTAAATCCGGACTAAAGGGTCCACATAGCATCATTGCCGCCATCCGTGCATCTAAGTGAACTTCAACATTAAAGACACCAAAATGGCTAGAAAAACTATTGTAGCCAAAACCATCACTCGACTAACCCTTCCATGGAAACCCCATTATTGAATGTACAACACCTCAAAGCATTAGAAGACTTGGTCTACTTTTGTTATTTTCTATTTTTCTTTATTCTCTGTTTAGTTATTTTCTTAGTCAAAAACTGCTTAGAAGTTGCTTTCAGTTTCCTAGCTTTTTGATCCACGTTCCTTGTAGTGTCTATAAGGCGTGTGATATTTTCCTTTATGTATTCAAGTCTTTAGAGAATAATACACATTAGTTGTGTGTAACCAAATCTTCTTCTGTGTTTGCTTTTCTTAATTTGCTGAGTGCAAGTGTGTGAGAGTGTCTAACAGGTCTTACGGTTAACAATCTGGTATCAGAGCATCCAGGTTCATGGTGGAATTACAGGTGTCCGGTGGTGTGAAGAAACTTAATCACCACAATTACAACACATGGTCTACTTGCATAACGTCTTACATGCAAGGTCAAGATCTGTGAGAAGTTGTGAAGAGATCAGAGACAAAACAACCTGAGGCCTAAGACAAAAATGGTGTTCTACGTAAGTGGAAGATCAAGGCAGGAAAAGCTCTATTTGTGTTGAAGACAACAGTAGAAGAAGAAGTACTAGAGCACATAAAGGACGCTGCAACACCGAATGAAGCCTGGGAAACTTTCCTTAGTTTGTTTTCTAAGAAGAACAACACAAAACTCCAAATACTTGAGAATGATCTTTTGTCTGTGTCACATAAGGATTTATCAGTTTCTTAATATTTTCATAAGGTGAAAGCTACGTGTAGGGAAATTGGAGAATTAGATCCTCAAGCCCCGAATGGTGAATCTCGGATGAAACGAATCATCATTCATGGATTAAAGCCTGAATTCAGGAGTTTTGTGGCAGCGATCCAAGGGTGGCCGACTCAACATCCTTAGTGGAGTTTGAAAATCTATTGAGTGCTCAAGAAACCCTAGCCAAGCAGTTAGGGGGAGGTGTTGAGAAGACCACAGAAGAAGCATTGTATTCTGATAGAGGTCGAAACAAGTATAAGGGAGGCTCAAGTCAGAATGCCAAATGCAATGAAGATAAGAATAAAGGGTCTGACTCTAGAAGCAAGAATCGTGATCATGATAAAAGAGATAAGCATAAGGGGCGTTATCACAACAAACAGTCCTTTTGCAAGTGCTATAATTGTGGAGAAAAGGGTCATACAGCCAGAAATTGTCCTGCAAGGTCCAATGAAGAAGGAAACGCAGCGGCTACTCAAGAAGAAGATGCATGGG